AATGGAACATTTCTGGGATCTTTTAGTTCAGCTCATGAAACATGGGACCAACACTTTACATGTTGCATTTATATTTTTGGTCAGTGTAATTATTAAATCAGATGCGCTAGACTAGGGTTGGAGTGAAAACCTACAGGATGGTAGCTCTCCACGAACAGGGTTGGAGAACCCTGTCCTAGGCAATAGGTCGCAAAGCAGCATCCCCGCTAAACTTTTTGGAAATGGCAAGTTCACTTTCTCATCCATAAACACAGTCAAGTGTGAATACGGTTCAGCAGCTCAAATCAGCAGGATGTGGGGCATTGTTATTAGGAAGGACGTCTACCATGGATGGATTGCTAAAATCATAATTGTGATCACACTTCATCAATTTAAATATTATGGGGAGACCTATACATTTGGCAGCCAAGCACGAGTTATCAGTGTAGCCTATTATCGTGGAGACTTGACATTGAAATATCTTCACGCCTACGATTAAAAACCTCCAGTCTTCCGTCATAAGTCAAATCAATTTGAAAAAATTAAGAATTACAGTGGGCAGTTTGGAAAAACTCATCCTGTGTGAATCGTCCTCTGGCATAATGCACATGCTTGGATAATAATTACAAAACCAACGTCTCTAGTAATACCCGTCCAAATAGGCCTATAACATGGCAAATAATATGCTTATCAGCGTAAAGTGCACAGCAACATCCCATGGGATCCATCAAGTCCGCACACAGCAGAAATATCACTGACATATTGTAGTTCCACCACATCACCTTCTATATTCATACTCCTGAGTGGCGCAGTGGTCTAAGGCACTGCATTGCAGTGCTAACTGTGCCACTAAAGATCCTGGTTCGAATCCAGGCTCTGTCGCAGCCGGCCGCGACCGGGAGACTCATGGGCGGCGCACAATTGGCCCAACGTCGTCCAGGGTAGGGGACGGAATGGCCGGCAGGGATGTAGCTCAGTTGGGTTCGATTCCCACGGGGGGCCAGTATATAAAAAAAAAATATGTATTCACTAACTGTAAGTCGCTCTGGATAAGAGCGTATGCTAAATGACGTAAATGTAAATGTAAATATTCAAACAAAAGAGGCCTTTTATAGGCAAATGGGCAGCATCATGCTCATGTGAGTCCTCTAGAACGCAAATGTAGTCTTCCTAGTAGGACTGCAATAATGAGGTGGTGTGTATGTGTGTGCGCATCCGTTTCAGCGTGTTTTGGGAGTCGAGCAAGAGTTGACTCCAATCACAGGAGTAGGAGTCGACTCCAAAAATCCTGGAGTCGTGCACCACTATACTATGGAGGCTCTAGTCTAGAGCATTTTCAAACTCTCGAAATGGTTAATGAGAAATAGGTGTAATTGTTGCAGTAGGTTGTGAGTGGGCAACATTATACCATCATCCTAAATTGAATTATGTTGTCATATTAAAGCTGCAATATGTAAATATAAAAGTTTATAGTCATCAAGATTATACTAAATCGATTGCTTCAAACAGATTAATATATTTTGTTTGGTACTTTTGCTTACACATGCCTGTCTGTCGCAGGACTTAGAACGCAGTTGATCATTTTCAAACTCGATAGCAAGGACAAATCTTTATAAAAGTCACTGGCCACAAACAAATACACGGATTTGACAGTCAAGCTATCACTCAAATGAAATCCAACCCCTGTCCCTATGTAGAACAACCTGTGAGGTGATGATCTGTTTAAATTATCCAGTCAAAAAAGTGTTGTTTCCTTTTTCGTATTGGCCATCTACCGTAAACACTGGCACAAGGAGTTGAGTTGATAAATGGCTAGTTACATGTTCTCATCAATCGACCGGTCTATGTAGTTAGTATACCCAAAATCGTTGTGGCTTGTCTTTTAGAAGAGCACAAACAGTACGTCACCGCTGTTATTGTCCCAGTTCCATTCATTTCTATACAATATCGACGTGAGCGATAAATCCAATTTTATTGGCCATGTACACATTTTGCAGATCTTATCGCAGGTGCAGCGAAATGCTTATGTTTCTAGCTCCAACAGTGCAGTAAACCTTACATAACAATACACCCCCCCACCCCCAAAAGGCTGAACAGGTGAATCTAGGTGAAAGCTCTGATCCCTTATTGATGTCACCTGTTAAATCCACTTGAATCAGTGTAGATCAGACAGGTTAAAGAAGGATTTGTTTAAGCCTTGACATGGATTGTGTGTGTGCCATTCAGAGGGTGAATGGGCAAGACAAAAGATTGAAGTGCCTTTGAACGGGGTATGGTAGTAGGTGACAAGCGCACCGGTTTGAGTGTGTCAAGAGCTGCAACACTGCTGGGTTTTTCACGCTCAACAGTTTCCCGTGTGTATCAAGAATGGCTCACCATCCAAAGGACGTCCAGCCAACGACAGACCAGTGGCCGAAAACGGGTAATTTATGAAATAGGACAGAGGAGGTTGACACGGATTATGCAGAGCAACAGACAGGCTACAGTTAGTCAACTGGCAGTGCAGTACAACATTGGTGCCCAAAGACCCATAAAAGAATGCACAACTCGTCGTACGTTGACACGAATGGGGTATGGCAGCCGACAACCTTAGTTGTTGTTTGCTGAAAGAAGTGGAACTCTAACTGCGGTTGCAGTGGACTAAGGAACGAAAACACTGGTCACTGGAGAATTGAAAAAACATTGCCGGTTCCTGCTGTTTCACGCTGATGGGAAGACTAGGGTATGGAGAATATGCATCTATCATGCCGCGTGTCAACATTGCGTGGCGGTAGTGTAATGGTGTGTTTTCATGGCACACATCGGGCCCCTTGATTAAAAATAGAGCTACGTTTGAATGCCACCGGATATCTGAACATCATTGCCAATCAGGTGCATCTCTTCATGGCAGCAGTGTATCCATCTGCAAATAAAAACATTTCAGCAGGATAATGCCCCATGCCACAAGGCTAGGATTGTCCAGGAATGGTTCCACGAACATGAGTGAATTTAGCTTACTGCAATGGCCTGCCCAGTCACCAGATCTCAATCCAATTGAGCATCTGTGCGATGAGATGGAACGAGCTAATCGGTGTAGAGATCCACTACCAGCCAACTTGACACAACTGTGGGAAGCATTGGAGTCAACACGAACCAGCATCCCTGTAGAACGCTTTCGGCGACTTGTCCATGCCCCGATGAATTGAGGCTGTTCTGAGGGTAAAAGGGGGTGCAACTCAAAATGTTCCTAATGTTTTGTACACTCAGTGTGTATGTACAGTGGGGGGAAAAAGTATTTAGTCAGCCACCAATTGTGCAAGTTCTCCCACTTAAAAAGATGAGGCCTGTAATTTTCATCATAGGTACACGTCAACTATGACAGACAAAATGAGAAGAAAAAAATCCAGAAAATCACATTGTAGGATTTTTTATGAATTTATTTGCAAATTATGGTGGAAAATAAGTATTTGGTCAATAACAAAAGTTTCTCAATACTTTGTTATATACCCTTTGTTGGCAATGACACAGGTCAAACGTTTTCTGTAAGTCTTCACAAGGTTTTCACACACTGTTGCTGGTATTTTGGCCCATTCCTCCATGCAGATCTCCTCTAGAGCAGTGATGTTTTGGGGCTGTCGCTGGGCAACACGAACTTTCAACTCCCTCCAAAGATTTTCTATGGGGCTGAGATCTGGAGACTGGCTAGGCCACTCCAGGACCTTGAAATGCTTCTTACGAAGCCACTCCTTCGTTGCCCGGGCGGTGTGTTTGGGATCATTGTCATGCTGAAAGACCCAGCCACGTTTCATCTTCAATGCCCTTGCTGATGGAAGGAGGTTTTCACTCAAAATCTCACGATACATGGCCCCATTCATTCTTTCCTTTACACGGATCAGTCGTCCTGGTCCCTTTGCAGAAAAACAGCCCCAAAGCATGATGTTTCCACCCCCATGCTTCACAGTAGGTATGGTGTTCTTTGGATGCAACTCAGCATTCTTTGTCCTCCAAACACGACAAGTTGAGTTTTGACCAAAAAGTTATATTTTGGTTTCATCTGACCATATGACATTCTCCCAATCCTCTTCTGGATCATCCAAATGCACTCTAGCAAACTTCAGACGGGCCTGGACATGTACTGGCTTAAGCAGGGGGACACGTCTGGCACTGCAGGATTTGAGTCCCTGGCGGCGTAGTGTGTTACTGATGGTAGGCTTTGTTACTTTGGTCCCAGCTCTCTGCAGGTCATTCACTAGGTCCCCCCGTGTGGTTCTGGGATTTTTGCTCACCGTTCTTGTGATCATTTTGACCCCACGGGGTGAGATCTTGTGTGGAGCCCCAGATCGAGGGAGATTATCAGTGGTCTTGTATGTCTTCCATTTCCTAATAATTGCTCCCACAGTTGATTTCTTCAAACCAAGCTGCTTACCTATTGCAGATTCAGTCTTCCCAGCCTGGTGCAGGTCTACAATTTTGTTTCTGGTGTCCTTTGACAGCTATTTGGTCTTGGCCATAGTGGAGTTTGGAGTGTGACTATTTGAGGTTGTGGACAGGTGTCTTTGATACTGATAACAAGTTCAAACAGGTGCCATTAATACAGGTAACGAGTGGAGGACAGAGGAGCCTCTTAAAGAAGAAGTTACAGGTCTGTGAGAGCCAGAAATCTTGCTTGTTTGTAGGTGACCAAATACTTATTTTCCACCATAATTTGCAAATAAATTCATTAAAAATCCTACAATGTGATTTTCTGGATTTTCTTTTCTCAATTTGTCTGTCATAGTTGATGTGTACCTATGATGAAAATTACAGACCTCTCTCATCTTTTTAAGTGGGAAAACTTGCACAATTGGTGGCTGACTAAATACTTTTTTCCCCCACTGTAGCTACTACTGTAAAGATGTCGACCTCAGTTTAGCTGTTGGTATATGCTATCTATTCTAATTTGGACTTTAACCGTAATGAAAAGTAGGCTATTTTATCTATTACAAAATGAATGTTGTTTTAGAGAGCAGATGATAGGCCAACTAGTAATTATGCTATTTTAAATGTATTTCCAGGCAGAGGAGATGGACACCCCAGAAGACCTGCAAGATGACAACCTGATCGAGTGGGAACACTTCCACAGTTCTAATTATGAGCAGCAAGATGGACATTTGGCAGTTAGGAGGAACATAATTTTAGAATGAAATAAATTCAAACAAAGACAACAAGAAGCAGAAGAGACAGCTGATGATTTTATCACTGCACTTAATTGTTTATCAGAACATTGTGATTATGGAGCTCTGCTCAGTGAGATAAGACACAGACTAGTCGCGGGATTACTTGACAGAAGACTGTCTGAGCAATTACAAATAGACCGAGAACTAACACTGGATAAAGCTGTCACATGCATTCGTCAAACTGAACTTGTGAAAAAGCAACAGGACCTGCCGGAGAATAACTTTAAAGCTGCCAGCAGCTCGGCATATGTAGACAGTGTGCTTTCACATAGCAGACAGCAATGCCCAGCCAATACCCAGTGCCAATCAGAGAAGAAGAATCAAAACTCAGAAAGACCACAACATCCCCAAACAACGCAGGAGAATGCAAAAGAGCCCATAGATACTGATGAGGATTTCATTGAGGATTTCAGTCCTGGAGGAGAAAAGCCTCACTACTGCTGCTACTGCGGTAGCAGCTTTCAAAAGGTGAGGGATCTAATAAGACACCAGCGATCACATACTGGAGAGAAGCCTCAGCACTGCTCTGATTGTGACAGAAGTTTTGCTCGATTAGATAAGCTTAAGTCACACCAAAAGATACATACAAAAAACTAACTTAATTTTCACTTCACTGTCTCTGTGGAAGGCTTTGTGCTATTTGAGAAGCTTGAAAAACAACAGCTGGAGAATACCTTCAAAGCTACCAGTTGTGTGGCAAATGTAGATCGTGTGCTCACACAGCAGAGAACATTCAGCAAAGTCAACGAGAGTAAAAGGCAGCAGAGTAAAATACGAGCTAGAGCTCCAGGAAAGGGAACACCATCACATAGCAAAACAATGCAGGAGAAGGAAGAGGAGCCCCTAGATACTGATGACTCTGATGAGTGGATCGACGGTTTCAGTCCTGGAGGAGAGAAGCCTCACTACTGCTCCGACTGCGGTAGCAGCTTTCAAAAGGTGAGGGATCTAATAAGACACCAGCGAACACATACTGGAGAGAAGCCTCACCACTGCCCTATTTGTGACAGAAGTTTTGCTCGATTAGATAAGCTTAAGTTACATAAAAACATGCATATGAAAGAGGAGCATGTCACACGGACCGAACAAACTGAACTGAATGTAGACCGTGTGCACACACAGCAGAGAACAGCCAGCAAAGGCAGAGGCAGGCAGAAGAGTAAAATACGAGCAGGAAAAATGGGCCAGTCACAGCCAGGAAAAAACTTGTCTTGCAAAAGTTCAGTTGGAAAGAATCAACACTCAAAACTGCAACTACCCCAAACAATGCAGGAGAATGAAGAGGATGCTGAAGATACTTCTGATGACTGGACCGAGAGTTTCAGTACTGTAGAGAAGCCCTACGTCTGCTCCAACTGTGGTAAGAGCTTCAAACAAGAGAATCGTCTTATAAGACATCAGCGAACACATACAGGAGAGAAGCCTTACAACTGCCCTGACTGTGAAAAAAGTTTTGCTCGATTAGATAATCTTAAATTGCACCAAAAAACACATATGAAGGAGGAACGTAATTTCCACTGCTCTGACTGTGTGAAAAGCTTTGTCCGATTGAAGCAGCTTGAAAAACATCAGCTAAGACACAAGAAAAGTGTTGAAAGACACACAACACATTTGAGCAAAAGAAAAACATTTCTCTGCACAATATGCGGGAAGGAGTGTCGCAACATGAAAATACACATGCGAGTACACACTGGAGAGACACCGTATCACTGCACTGAATGCGGGAAGAGTTTTCCATATACAAAATCGTATCAAAGACATATACTAACACATAATACCTCTGGAGAAAGAGCAACCTATCCTTGTTTGGAATGTGGAAAGACTTTTACTCGCAGAGATGGCATGGCGAGACACATGAGGAGGATTCATACTGGAGAGAGAAATCATCAGTGCAGAGACTGTGGAAAACTATTCTTTCGAAAAGAGACACTGAAGAGACACATGCTAGTTCACACTGGAGAGAAACCATACCAGTGCTCTGTCTGTGGGCAACCCTTCTCCCAAGATGGAGACAGAAAACGTCACGAGAAGAGGCACTACTCTGGTGTCTCAGATTTCCTCAATCTATAATGCAGAAGTGGTGCAGGTAGCCTAGCGGTTAAGTGTTGGGCCAGTAAAAGGTTGCTGTTTCGAATCCCCAAGCTGACTAGGTGAAGAATCAGTCGGTGCCCTTGAGTAAGGCACTTAATCCTAATTGCTAAATGACAAAAATGTAATGTAAAATGTGTTTGGCATTGCAGGAAGTGGGAACCTACCTAATCACTGTGATTTGATAATCTAATAATCTGTTAACTACAAATGTTGGTGGCCTGGAATTGCCACCACAGACTGTAGAAGAGACACACAGACAGACTGTTGCTGATACACAGCAAGACTGAGTATTACTGTCTTCATAGCAGTATAATTTTTTTTTCAAAAGTCGGTTATTTAAAATCAAGGATTGGAACCGGTTCAGGGAACAGAACCAAAAACCGGAAAATAACCAAATTATTTGAGCAACCCAAACCGAAAACAAAAGTAATCTATACTGTTCCTGGAAGATAACCATTATTTTAAAAGCATGGGAACCGGTTAATAACATTATTTTACGTTCCGGGCATTTTTTTTCCAGTGCCACAAAAATCGCAAACAAAGTGCATATGCAAAGCCCTTACTCTGTCACTCAGAAACGTATTCCAGCGTCTGCCTGCCAGCTGGAAATCTTTGCCAGTGGGTGTGTGTAGTATACCTGCCCCTCCCCTCTGAAGCATAGGTTACTGTAGCCTACTGATGACGTTACAAGCATAATTCAGAAAATAGGGAGTGCTGTTTAATTAAAGAATGGATTGATTTATTCAATTGGTCGGAACAGTAAAAAAAAAAAAAGATTATGTTCAGAACGAAACGATTGGAAAATAATTTCGGTTCCAACCCATGTTTTTAAATAGATTTTTTTTAAATGTATTTGAATATTTTGTTTCAAAAAAGCATATTACAGTATAGTATACTATCAATAGCAGTCATTGTTGAATGATGGGAATTCCCCATTGGTGGTTCACAGTTAGTTCATATTGTATTAATGTGTATATTGGTTTGATTATCAATGAAAGGTTCACAGCTTCAGTGAGTGTGTACATTTGTCTGAAATTTACTGAATTCAGGGTGAGTTGTCAGGCAACCCAATACCATAATTAGTTAGGCTTTTAAACAGACACTAGATGGAGTAGATGTTAACATTTATGTTTTTATTAAAAGACACTGAACACAAGTGTTTTTCTGTTGTGCATTAGAAAAATTAGATTTCAGTCTTGGAGGTGCGTTTCCTGACTGATTCCACGTTTGCATAATGATATTTGCATAATGATATTTGTATAAGCCTACTTCACTTCTTCAAAATCCCCAGGATGAATCTAAGATAACTCAAGAAATCTGTAATTAATTTTGACATTTTTGCCGAGGATTTTACATCTAACTAAGATGTTTGGTGCAGTATTTCTCAAGTTACAAAATGTGCGACGTGTTGTCTTATGTAAACAAAGTTGGAGCTGCTTGGCAGGTCTGTCTCACTGTCTATGCTATTGGATAGAGAGCAATCGCCGTAGCTATTCACCCCATATTAGTGGGCAAATAGACATCCTCAAATCAAAACCCAACCTTCAATTACCCTTGTGATGCACGGATGTTCCAAACTCCGTTTTAGGCAAGACTGACTGACCAAAACTATCCTATTTACACTTTGTAGTCAATTTTGACATCAGAATAACTGCTTCTGACTAATATTGATGCCACACAGGCTGTTTTCAAAGGGGTTAGTTGCTTTTTAAAGGCAGACGGTTTTTAACATCTACCACATCTAGTGTCTGTTATAAAAAAGCCTAACTAATTATGGTATTGGGTATGCAATGAATTTTCTAAATCTGACATACTATAAAGCCTACTATTTAGAACACAAGTACGGGTATTCGGTCACTTCCAGTATCTTAAGCGGAAGGCCGACTGGGGTACTGCAGGCTGGTAGTGGCAACTAAATTATCCTCCATTTATTTTGTGCGATTTTAAAATAATCTGTTCAAGAACATAACGTTACATCTGATGTAATAGAAGCTTTCTATACTTGACATTCAGACATAAAGTGAAAATGTCTGCATGCACTTTACAACATTTCAACATGCATGTGATTTGCATATCCGATAATGTTTATTATATCTTGGTCACCACCACACAGTTGCACACACACACCATAGAAGTATTTTTGTGCATAGGATGGACTTGTGGTTCTGAAAGGTAAGAACAAATATACAATGTTGTAAGCTATGCAATAGGAATATCTACACAGGAAAGAATGGCATAGCATCTATACAGGGATATTCACATAACAGCATAAATACAGTATTTACAGCAGTGTGTGTATAAATATCTCGCAGAGAGCGAGATAACTAATTACTTAAGACAGGTGAGATTTATGGCACTCTCTGGTGGAGCTCTGATCTGTGTCTGGTGCCACAGAGTCATACATTTTACTGCGCATGCGGGAGCGACGAGGACAGTCTGTGAAACTTGGCCATGGCTTAACAGTAGCGCGAACTATGAAAACGCAGCGGTAAAGTGCGCATTCAGGCTTTAGGAATTAACCATCTCTAAACAATAACATCTACTGCAAAACACATGCATTCAATGACATACAGGCACTTATAAACGACACGGAGTATCTGAAATGTATATAAGCTGTAGCAGTACTATACAGCTACAGATGTAACAATGTAATTAGGCCAAAGGAGGTTGGTGGCATGTTAATTGGGGAGGACAGGCTTGTGGTAATGGCTGGAGCGGAATCAGTGGAATGGTATCAAATAAATCAAACATGGTTTCCATGTGTTTGATGCCATTCCATTTGCGCCATTGCAGACATTATGAGCCGTCCTCCCCTCAGCAGCCTCCACCTTAGGCCTAAGGTAATTGCTTTCAGTCAATCACCATTGTAGCATTAACCCTCTGGCCAATAAACCCCACCACTCACTTATTGGATGCACGAACAATCTTCCTCAAACACACTGATAATTTGGTGGGCAAGACAAATTTGCGTCTTCATCTGCCGACAACGATAGCCACTCCACAGAGAGATATTTCACCGGATGTATAAATGTGAAGCATCCGCTTGGGTTTCCGCTCACTACCAAATATGGTAGTGAGAGGAAGCCCAGTGGCCGGCTGTGGGAGAAGATTGAACTAGATGGATTTTGGCCTTAGTTCTGCTAATTTTCTCATCGATGAAACATTTGATCCCAATACAATTTTCTGTTCCCAAAAGTAAAATATGTTACGAACAGAGTGACTAAGTTTAGTAGACTTTACCCTTTGCCAAAGTAAAAAAAAATTGCGTTGTTTAGAAGGAGTGCAAAGGCGAATTGAGTTAATACACACGCGCACTTCACGTTCACTAACGGAAATATGCGCATGTATGCTAGAACGCGCCAATAGGATCTCGCTAGCTCGTGCTTGGCTCTGCCCACCTCCTTGCTTGTTCAGCCCACTATGACTCATTTGTTCCTGTTTGAAACGACGGGCTTTGGTCTATCTTGGTTTAGTTATAAAAGCTTTGGACACTCTGACCTGGAGTGGGAGGGGTCAGAGTCCCAATTTGCATTCGACCACTCTGATTGGTGGAAACCAGCAAGCCGTGATAGCTGAGACGAGAATTCACCCTAACCGGACTTTTAGGAAAGTCACATGCACAGGCATGGCTTTTACAATGGCCTTTTTATTTTCTTTCACTTCAATCAAATCTAACCAAAAGCTTCAATTGCTATCAGCAAAAGCAGACAAAACTGTTGTGTATAGAATAGTACTGCAGACTTCTTTGGTTTGCAGCCTCTGGTTTTACCCGCACTCCCTTCCGTTGGGATACAAAACACACACAGAAAATGGCGGAATTTGAGGACGAAGGACTGCCCAAAAAAATGCAGGAGAACTGAGACGAAGAGGAGCTCAAAGAAGATATTGATGACTCCTATGCCAAATAGGATGCAAGATGTTGCAAGTTCTGAAGAAACGCTAATTGAAGAGGTTAGAAGGTACACAAATGTGTACAACACCTCATTGAAAGACTATAAAGACTTCACCATGACCAACAACAGCTGGAAGGAGATAGGATAGCCCAAACTCTGAGAGTAGAATAACACATTTGCAGGAAGAAATAGAGGACACTGAGAGAGACGTTAGACTGAGGAGGAAAATGAAGGGGAAGAGTGGGGATGCAGCATCAGGAATACAACCACAAATACTCACCACACTGTCCTGGCTGTCTGGGTTCATAAAACACAAATGAGACAGAGTCAAACTATCCAAAGGTAAAGACCACTTCTACTGTAAATAAACTTCTCTAGCCTAGATCACTACCCAGTGGACAAAACCTGGTTGAAAATACTTCAATATTACTATTTTTATGACGTCTTATTCTGGTCGCAAACTGGTTGAAAATGAAGGTTTTACATATTTTTACTGACCAGAATCACGTATTTTTCTGACCACTATATGACCAGTTGGTCATAATTCTGACTGATCTGACCAGCTGGTAATAATTCTGACCACTATATTATGTGCTATATTATGTAGCCTACTGGTCATAGTTAAGACCATCATAACCTGGTAATGACCACCTGACTACAGCTTATTACCTTCTGTAAAAAGAATTGCTGAGGATGAAGTTGGATATTGAAAACGTTAATTACATTTCTATTTGTTTCCAAGGGCACCAATTCAAGTTGAAATCTGCAACATATTCTTACATTTAAAATAGATCAACCAATGGCAAAAACAAATCTGAGCACAGAAGGTGATCTGGAGCGTAGTGGTCTTCTTGAAGAGTGGTGTGATGGGTCAGATCTGCAGTGAAGAGAATCAGCGCATTACAACTTTATCATTTTGAGATTTTAAAAGAACTAGAGAAGGACATTCCTGAATAAACTTTGTAGACTCAGCTGGCTAACGGTATTTATTTTCATGCTACTAGTTGAACAAGTTTGTGGCAGTTATAGCTTAGAGATGTCTTTAAAAGAGCAACTTGCTCATATACATACTTTGCGTCCCCCTCCACCACGGAGGTCAGGGGCATATTTTAGGACATTCCAGAGGGATCGCAACACATTAGCCTCCTGAGATTTCTGGCTTTTCATGACAATTGAAGAAAATGACTACTTCATGAAGCTGGTTGAGAGAATGCCAAGAGTGTGCAAGAGGGTGGCTTCTTTGATGAATCTCAAATATAAAATATATTTTGATTTGTTTAACACTGTTTTGGTTACTACATGATTCCATATGTGTTATTTCATAGTTCGGATGTCTTCACTATTATTCTACAATGTAGAAAATAGTAAAAATTAGTAGGTGTGTCCAAACTTTTGACTGGTACTGTACATGCTGGTAGCCTAGAACAAATGTTATGGAAGTGAATATGCATTTCAATTGGTTGGACTTTAACTACGAAAAACACTGTGGTAAAAGCAGTAATAGCATCAGAGATTCTCTAAATTAGGGACCATCTCTGATAGCTATAGGTCTCAAACGGAATAGGCCAGAGCCCAGTGTGTTGACAGGGTACAGTATGCCACGAGACCCTAACCCGCTTTGGTGCACTCTGCCAACTGTGCTAAGCTGAATAATGCAAACGCTGCTGAAAAAGAACATTACTCCAATTGTAATAATTGCCCACAAACACTATGCACTTGTTTATATAGATTGGTGTCTATTAATTGAGTAGCATTTAGATAACTGGTTAGTAGTTCAATCAGATTTCAACCAAAAACCAGATATAACCAGATATATTTTTAATGACATCAAAAATATTAAAATAAGTCTTAATCTTGTTGTGATCTGGTTATAAGACGTCCCGACCAGATTTCAACCAGATAAATACATCTTTATCACGTTGTATGTCCACTGGATAGCTTATGCTATAGTGATCTCTAGAACTAATGACAAACAAAAAAGTATCATGTTGAGTGGGGATGCAGCATCAGTAATACAACCAGAAATACTCACCACACTGTCCTGGCTAGTCTGGCATCATAAAGCACAAGGAGACAGAGTCAGACTATCCACAGGTAAAGACTACTACTGTCAATGAACCTTCTCTAGCCTAGATCACTAGCCTATGCAATCAATATGCTATATCATGGTGATCTCTAGACCTAATGACAAATAAATCATCATTATCATGTTGATACTGCTAGGTATTTTAAATTATTAGAACTACCTACTATTGTAAAGATATGTAAACCTAGGTTATTTGTTTTGCCATTTATTGTATGCTATCTATTCTAATTCGGACTTTAACCGTATCGAAAAGTAGGCTATATTATCTATTACATATTTATTGTTGTTTTAGAGAACTGACAATACTAGTTAGGCCTACTAGTAATTCTGCTATTTTAAATGTATTTCCAGGCAGAGGAGATGGACATCCCAGAAGACCTGCAAGAAGACAACCTGATCGAGCAGGAACATTTCCACAGTTCTAATAATGAGAAGCAAGATGGAGATTTGGCAGTTAGGAGGAATGTAATATTAGAACGAACTAAATTCAACCAAAGACAACAAGAAGCAGGAGAGACAGCTGATGATTTTATCACTGCACTTCATTGTTTGTCAGAACATTGCAGTTATGGAGCTCTGCTCAGTGAGATGATAAGAGACAGACTAGTTGCAGGCTTACGTGACAGAAGACTGTCCGAGCAATTACAAATGGACCCAGAACTAACACTGGATAAAGCTGTCGCACGCATTCGTCAAATTGAACTTGTGGAAAAGCAACAGGACCTGCTGGAGAATACTTTCAAAACTGCCAGCAGTGCGGCAAATGTAGACAGTGTGCGCACACAGCAGAGAACATTCAGAAAAGTTAGAGGGAGCAAAAGACAGCAGAGGAAAGTACAAGCTAGAGAACCAGGAAAGAGAACACCATCACATAGCAAAACAATGCAGGAGAAGGAAGAGGAGCCCCTAGATACTGATGACTCTGATGAGTGGATCGAGGGTTTCAGTCCTGGAGGAGAGAAGCCACACTACTGCTCCGACTGCAGTAAGAGTTTTAGAAAAGTGAGGGATCTTATAAGACACCAGCGATTACATACCGGAGAGAAGCCTCAACGCTGCCCTGTTTGGGACAAAAGTTTTGCTCGATTAGATAAGCTTAAATTACACAACAAAATACATATGAAAGAGGAACATAATGTCACACATAACCATCAAACTGAACTGAATGTAGACCGTGTGCACACACAGCAGAGAACAGCCAGCAAAGGCAGGCAGAAGAGTAAAATTCGAACTAGAACACCAGGGGAAAAAATGGTCCAGTTACAGCCAGGCAAAGACTTGCCTTGCAAAAGTTCAGTTAGAAAGAATCAACACTCTGAAAAACTGCAACTACCCCAAAAAACGCAGGAGAATGAAAAGGATCCTGAAAATACTTCTGATGACATGACCGAGAGTTTTAGTACTGTAGAGAAGCCATACGTCTGCTCCGACTGTGGTAAGAGCTTTAAACAAGAGAGTTGTCTTATAAGACATCAGCGAACACATACAGGAGAGAAGCCTTACAACTGCCCTGACTGTGAAAAAAGTTTTGCTCGATTAGATAATCTTAAATTGCACCAAAAAACACATATGAAGGAGGAACGTAATTTCCACTGCTCTGACTGTGTGAAAAGCTTTGTCCGATTGAAGCAGCTTGAAAAACATCAGCTAACACACAAGAAAAGTTTAGAAAGACACAGGAGAACACATTTGAGCAAAAGACAAAAGTTTCTCTGCACAATATGCGGGAAGGAGTGTCGCAACATGAAAACACACATGCGAGTACACACTGGAGAGACACCGTATCACTGCACTGTGTGTGGGAAGAGTTTTCCATATACAAAATCGTACCAAAGACACATACTAACACATAATACTTCTGGAGAAAGAGCAACCTATCCTTGTTTGGAATGCGGAAAGACTTTCACTCGCAGAGATGGCATGGTGAGACACGTGAGGAGGGTTCATACTGGAGAGAGAAATCATCAGTGCAGATACTGTGAAAAACGATTCTTTCGAAAACATACACTGAAGATACACATGCTAGTTCACTCTGGAGAGAAACCATACCAATGCTCTGTCTGCGGACAAGGCTTCTCCCAAGATGGAGACAGAAAACGCCACGAGAAGAGGCACTACTCTGGTGTCTCAGATTTCCTCGATCTATAATCATTTTTTACATTTACATTTTAGTCATTTAGCAGACGCTCTTATCCAGAGCGACTTACAGTTAGTGAATACATTTTTTTTTTTTATACTAGCCCCCCGTGGGAAATGAACCCACAACCCTGGCGTTGCAAACGCCATGCTCTATCAACTGAGCTACATCCCTGCCGGCCATTCCCTCCCCTACCCTGGACGACGCTGGGCCAATTGTGCGCCGCCCATGAGTCTCCTGGTCGCGGCCGGCTGCGACAGAGCCTGGATTCGAACCAGGATCTCTAGTGGCACAGTTAGCACTGCGATGCAGTGCCTTAGACCACTGCGTCACTCAGGAGATAACCTTGCCATACCTTGTCCATATACTGCTTACAGGGCAAGGAAACCAATATGCAACTCCGCAATTTGGGTGAACCATCCCCCCAAGAGCGATTTTCATTTTCTTTGTTCAGTTATCACAAATCAAGCGCAATGTTGTCTACATATAGTATAGGCCGTTGCATCAGTGGCAATATGTACCGTTCAATTGAAAAATGTTGATTGATCCCCTACTTTAAAAGAGTAACAGTTGTTTTGCACTCATACACAGCCAGCTTTTCCATCTTCCCATAGCACTCATATTACAACCATGGTAATTTACTCCTGATATATGCAAGCGCCTGCACACACACTGCCAATCATCACACATTTTATCCTTGCACACTCAACATGCCAAATACAGTAGTTATAAACAGCCAAACATCTTCCAAAGCATAATAATACCCTTGTGGCAAAGTAAGTTTAGGCGGCCACAATAACTCAACTACCTGCATAATATGTGCCAAGTTTATCAATTAGAACACGGACACAATAACTACTCTAACTAACTGATAAATAAAGGATAAGTTAAGGGAACATTGGTCAAACAGCATGCGGGATGCAGAAGTGGTGTTTGGCATTGCAGGAACCCACCCAATCATTGTGAAATGGCAATCTAATAATCTGTTAACTACAATGTTGGTGGCCTGGAATTGCCACCACAGACTGTAGAAGAGACACACAGACTGTTGCTGATACAAGACTGAGTATTACTGTCTTTGGATAAATCGAATGTATGCATCATTGTATGCGTAGACACTTGACAGAAATGGTAACAGAAGGTGAATGTTGAACTTTTTTTGCACACATATCCAGATGATGCTTCGTACCATTTAGCGCAATGACACTCAGTGTGTTCGAGGCGTCAGACCAACAGCGTCATCTTGTTTTGGTACAACAGAAGTACATTCATTTCCAATGGAATGTTGCATTTGCCTTGCAGAATTGCGTTGCAGTGCGTTCTGTGTGGCACATTCGGTGTATGCATCAAATTGCATGCGGAGACTTCACACAAATAGTAGCAGAAGGTGAATGTTGAACTTTTGCACACATATTCCAGTACAGATGTTGGATGACATCATGAAAAAAGTTTAACTGTAGAATTTATTACGCAGCATTGATGCATTAACGCTTCGAACACACCGACTGCGTCATTGTGTTTTGGTACAGCAGAAGTACATTAATTTCCAACGGAACGCTGCGTTTGCCTTGCAGCATTGCGTTGCAGAGGCAGTTGCAGTGCATTCTGTGTGGTTCATACGTTGGATTTATCTAACATATGCATCAAACTGTATGCGTAAACGGGTTGACAGAAATGGTAGCAGAAGGTGAATGTTGAACTTTTGTTGCACACATAGCTAGATGATGCTGCATACTATTTTGCGCAATGACGCAGTCGGTGGGTTCAAAGCGTAACGCTGTTGGTCTGATCGAGGTGTTGCGCCTTGATCACAACGATAGCGTCATTGCGCAAAATAGTACGCAGCATCATCTGGATATGTGTGCAACAAAAGTTCAACATTCACCTTCTGCTACCATTTCTGTCAAGCCATCTACACATACAGTTTGACGCATACGTTCCAACGTATGCACCACACAGAACGCACTGCAACTGCCTCTGTAATGTTGCAAGGCAAACGCAGCGTTCTATTGGAAATTGAATGTACTTCTGGTACGGGTATTCTGACACGGCCAGTATCTCAAGTTGAAGGCCAACAGGGGTACTGCAGGCTGGTGGTAGCAACTAAATTAGCAACATTTACATTACATTTAGCAGACGCTCTTATCCAGAGCGACTTACATTATTATTATTTTTTCCATACCCCCTGTGGGAATCGAAACCCAAAAACCCTGGCGTTGCAACGCCATGCTCTATCAACTGAGCTACATCCCTGCCGGCCATTCCCCCCCTACCCTGGACGACGGGGGCCCAATTGCGCGCCGCCCCATGGGTCTCCCGGTCACGGCCGGCTACGACAGAGCCTGGATTCGAACCAGGATCTCTAGTGGCACAGCTAGCACTGCGATGCAGTGCCTTAGACCACTGCGCCACTCAGGAGACATATGTGTGCGATTTTTTAATAATCGGTTCAAGCACATAAAGTTACATCTGGTGTAATAGAAGCAATTATTGGTACCATGATTATCCCCCCCCCCCCCAAAAAAAAAAAAACATGAATATTGACCACAAAGATGAACATTTTCTCATTCACTATAATGGGGGGTGCTGCTTTCTGGAAACAGCCTGCAGTATGGCAGGTTGGCCATGAACTTCATGGCTTCAGTGAGAGGGGGCAGTCCCAGTGGGCATACGGCGTGATAAAGACGTATTTTACTGGTTGAAATCTGGTTGGGATGTCTTTATAACCAGATCACAAACAGATTAAGACATCTTTTTCATGACGTCTATTTGATGTCATGAAAAATACATCTTATTTTGGTTGATATCTGGTTTTTGGTTGAAATCTGATTGAATTACTGACCAGTTATCCAATCTATATAAAACATGGGCATAGTGTTTGTGGGCCATGCACCCATTCCATATAAGACACTAGAACCATTACAATTATAACAATTGGAGTAATGTTCTTTTTCAGCAGGGTTTGCATGATTCAACTTAGCACACTTGGCAAACAATGGTTGGCAGAGAGCACCAAAACGGGTTAGGGTCTCATGGCATACTGTACCCAGTCAACATGCTGGGCTTGGGCCTAATCCGAGACTGGAGGGACTCGACATAGACTCGGACTCAGGGGGGCTTCATGCGGTATGAGCTTTTCCCAAGTCCGGCAGAATTATATTACTCTGGACTCTCTAATGGTACCCTGGCCGAGTCCACTTCAGCTTACCTGGCCTGATTAACTTTTTCAGGAGTAGGGCCATTTGAGGTTTTTATTTGGCAGGTGCTGAAATAACAATTTTTTAAAACAAATAAATGTGATATATTTCACCCTAAGTCATGGGAATTTGCTAGGTCATTAAAAAAATTTTTTTCCCCCCTATAGCTGTCAGAGATAGTCCCTCATTTAGAGAATCTCCGACGCTATACATGCTTTTGCGTTTACTACAGGCTATGGCAGTAGTTTTCGTAGTTGCAGTCCACCCAATTGAAAAGTGCACATTCACTTCCATAACATTTGTTCTAGGCTACCAGCATTAAAGATAAACATGCACAATAATACAGGGTACCCTTCCAAAAATGCACTGCCATTAAAATGCAGTAAAAATGCAATACAATTAAATAATGGTTGTTTAATTAATGATATCTGGTAGCTTGCTGTGTGTGTTGGCATCTAATGGTAATATTTTATGCGTTAGCTAATTGCACTGTTTATTGTGGTGCACCATTTTCTTCTGTTACACTTAATGCTGTTTTGAAGTTCTATTATTATTTTATTTTTTTATTTTTTTTAACCTTTATTTAACCAGGTAAGCCAGTTGAGAACAAGTTCTCATTTCCCAAACTGCGACCGGCCAGAGAAAGCACAAAAGCAGTGCATAAAAAACAACACAGAGTTACATATGGGGTAAAAAACATAAAGTAGAAAATAAACGGAAAATATATATAAGGTGTGCAAATGTAGCAAGTTATGGAGGTAAGGCAATAAATGGGCTAAGTGCAAAATATTACCAATTAGTATTAACACTGGAATGCTAGATGTGCAAGAGATATGTGCAAATAGAGATACTGGGGTGCAAATAGCAAAATAAATAACAATATAGGGATGAGGTAGTTGGGTGGGCTAATTTCAGATGGGCTGTGTACAGGTGCAGTGATCGGTAGGTGCTCTGACAACTGA